TCCTTCCTTCCTTCCTTCCTTCCTTCCTTCCCTCCTTTTCTGGAAAAGGAAAGAGGACCAAGAAATGGAGGGAGGGGGAAGGGAGAGAAGGAGAAGAGGATTCCTTTTAATAGAAAGGAATTCAGATGTGTTACATACAATAGCAACTCCACGAGGAATACAATCATTATATACTGCAAAGATGTACTAATGAAAGTAAAGAGAATAGTAGATTTCAAAAATCCTTCACATTCAGGTCCTCTTCATGCTGTAGCTCTACTCCTTACCTGGCTTCATCCCTGTTGACAACCTCAGCATGTTACATACTCTGTAATGACTGGGTAACATCCAGTTGGTTCCTCCAATCTGGCGGTGCTCCTGTCTCATAAACACTCCTTGTTCTCCACCTGGGCTCCTCTGCTTGGGCTGTGGTAGGTGTCATCACTGGGGGATCATTTGTTCACAAACCATGAGCCCTTTAGGGACCCAGAGAAGCCCCTCCTCCTTCCCAAGCTTTCCTATTGACCAGCCTCAGCCTGCTTTCCTGCATCTGGGTCTCTGACAGGGCCAATCCACCTTCTCCAGAGCATCAGTACTTGTTGACTGGCATGGTTGGGCTTGTTAAGAAACATCCCACACCTGTCCACTCAGTCCCAGGCCAAAGGACTTATTGCATCTTGACAAAGATCTCACACCTGCAACTTCCCATGGCACAAGTGTGAAAAATCACTGAGCTATGCCCAGGACTATAAATCTTAATTCATGTAGACATCCATATTTCTCTAGATTTTGTTCAGTAGAATCTTTTTATATGTAATTAAATTGAATTTTGCATGAAGACCTTTTCCCACAGGTCAAAACCTGTGGTTTTTCCAGTCTGACTCTTCTTTTAAGCCATAGGTCAAATACTGGCAAAACACCCACCCATGGCCATTACATATGGTCAGTCCCACTCATTCATGCAGCACGTATATCTGCTTCCAAGCTACCGAGGTAGATTGAAGTTGTTGTGACAGACACCACAGACGTGTGCAACATACAATATTTTCTGTCTGGCCCTTTGCAGAAGCCTGTCCTAAATGGGGACTGTTACATAACAGGGTGGGCTCTACACTGTGCTCCACTGGGATAGAGTGCTGTAGCTCACTTCTCCAGCTGCCCAAACCTCAGTGCATTTTTCTTTCCTCCGTAGCTCACTCCCAGCTGTCCTGTCACTGTCGTTGGTGAACTGGCACAGCAGAACCATCCACTCCCTTTCTCCGCCAGGCCTGCATCTTCAGCTCAGAGCAGAGATCACCATGGATGAGGTGAGACTCCTTTATTTCTTGCAGGAAGTATAATTTCAATTAATGGTAGCTACTTGAATATTGCACTACAGCTAACTCCATCTTTGTTCACTTCCCAGAAGCCAATGAATTCCAACAATAGTGAGTATTTCATGGATTACTCCGAGTCAGTTACTGCTATGTATTACACACCTGACGAAGGTGACTTACTGTGCTCCTTGGAGGAGGTCAGACAGTTCTCCAGGATGTTCGTGCCAATCGCATACTCCTTGATCTGTGTCTTTGGCCTCCTGGGTAATATTCTTGTGGTGATCACCTTTGCCTTTTATAAAAAGGCCAAGTCTATGACGGATGTCTATCTCTTCAACATGGCCATCGCAGATATACTTTTTGTCCTTACTCTACCATTCTGGGCAGTGACTCATGCCACTGGTGCATGGACTTTCAGCAATGCCCTGTGCAAGCTGATGAAAGGTATCTATGCTGTCAACTTCAACTGCGGTATGCTGCTCTTGGCCTGTATCAGCATGGACCGGTACATTGCCATTGTACAGGCAACCAAATCTTTCTGGTTCCGGTCCAGGACTCTGGCACACAGCACAATAATCTGCCTTCTGGTGTGGGTGTTGTCACTGATCATCTCCAGCCCAACATTTGTCTTCAACCAGAAATATAATACGCAAGGCAGCAAGACCTATATCTGCGAGCCCAAGTATGCCGGAGAATCAGACCCTATCGTGTGGAAGCTGCTGGTGCTGGGGCTGCAACTGCTGTTCGGATTCTTTATCCCACTGGTGTTTATGGTGTTCTGCTACACATTCATTGTCAAGACCTTAGTGCAGGCTCAGAATTCTAAAAGGCACAGAGCCATCCGCGTGGTGATAGCAGTGGTCCTTGTTTTCTTGACTTGCCAGATTCCTCATAACATAATCCTTCTGATGACTGCTGCAAACCTGGGCAGAATAAACCGAATGTGCAGCACTGAAAAGCTCATGGCATACACCAAAAATGTCACGGAAGTCCTGGCCTTCCTCCACTGCTGCCTCAACCCCGTGCTCTACGCATTTATTGGTCAGAGGTTTAGAAACTACTTCCTGAAGATCATGAAGGATGTGTGGTGTGTGAGAAGAAAGCACAAGACACTGAGCTTGCCCTGTGCCAGGGTGAACTCAGAAGCCTTCGTTTCCAGGCAGACCAGCGAGACCATAGGCAATGACAATGCTTCATCTTTCACTATGTGATGAGGACATGCAAATCAAATGTCCTTAAAGGCTTTGTGAAACTTGCTAATTGAGGAATAACACACACACACACACACACACACACACACACGCACACCCCTCCATCGCCAAATATACAAATATGGAAATAGACAAAATTAAAAAGTGCCTCTGTCAGATCAGAGGATTCCTGTTCCCCAGACATGAAAATCTCTGCATGGGGTGGTGGAAGGTGGGAGGTGGGTGGGTTCTGAAAGCAGCTTTCCTTAAATCTGCTTGAGAAGAAACTGGTTTTAGAGCCTCACAGGGCTGCCTTTCCACAAAACAGGTTGTGGGAAATGCTAAATTAAAATGAATTGTTTATGTATGTAAAAGTTTTTAGAAATATTTGTGATGTGGTCATAGACCACAAAATCTCCTGGTTATAGGAGAAGAAAGACAGAGTTTAAAAAAGGAACCCAGAAGCCCTCCTGTAACTCACTTTAGGCAAACCTTTAACCATTTTGCTATGGAAGTGTTTACTGCTGCTGATTGTGAGCATCAATAATTGTCATCTGACTTCCTTCTGATATACTCAGCAAGCACCAGGTTGTCAGAAGGCGGAAGTCAGAGAAGCTTCATTGTCTCCAACTGGAAAAGCAAGTGGGGCACAGACGTCAGTGACACCCATCCCCAGGGCTAGGGCATCTCAGGTTGTAACAGGGGCCAAGCTTACTCTTGTCCCTCTGTGACTAGACTGTCCTCGAAATGCCCCTGAGGCAGGGCTCCTTGAAGACAGGCTCTGCTGCAGTCCTGTTCCTAGCTGTGCTTCCCAACCTTGGTAGAGTTTTTAGCACAAAATAGGGGCTTAGTAGACATTTTTTCAATGCATCATGATGAAATTGGAGTTTATTACGCAGTTTGAGGTGTTACATTTATTTATATAAATAGGGTAATTGTTTTATTAGAAAGCAGAAGGACACTTTACTGAGACAATGTAGAAAGAATTTGTTTTTTGTTTCCATGCTGGGCTTGAAGAAGGATACGTGGCTGATGATTCTGTTTATAAAGAGTTAGAACTAGCTAGCACACAGCTGGAAGTGTATCAGCCTCCAAGAAGGATTTTAATGTGATTTTACCCAAAGTCTGAGGCTAGCAATGGAGTCCAACTGAACAATTCTCATCAACTTTGAAAGCTCTAGAACTCTCATTTTTAAAGTGCTATCTATGTAAATATATGAATATAAGTGGAAAGTATAAAGTGAATTATAAAAATACAAACATACATTAGAAAGGCAGTGACATGAATCAGAAAAATACTGACAATGTTAATTCTGACAAATGTGGTATTTGAAACTTGATATGGTTTTTGTAAGCTTTAACTCTCTCTATAAAGTGAAGACTTGTGTCTTCAGGTACAAAATCTATATTTTGAAGCGTTGTTTTGGCTTTGCAAAAATAAAACTGCATGCTTGCATGAAGCAGGACTCATTTTCTAGCTTCAGTGTTTAGCCTGAGGAGCCGACTGCCTAGACACTTGTGGTGACTTGTTTCCTTCAAATCCGTTAGAGTTCAGTTTCACAAACTAAAGCAGAGGAGTGTGGTCAATGCCCCGATGACAGGATCTGCAAAGATAATGTTATAGGCGGCTAAGTTAGATGAATATTACAGGCAGTCAGAGAGGGCTGGGCCCTAGAAGGAGCCCGTGCAGAAAACAAGATACCATATAACTGTGGAGGAGACAGGCACCTCCGCTGCGGGCCAGACCTCAAGATAAAAGATAAAACAAATGTACCCACACACTTCCTAAGGATAAACATCAGGGACTGATATTCTACATAGGTATCAATCAGCGTGAGAAAGCCAGGAAAAGCCACTAACCCAACCCCCTACAGGGAGAACCCTTGTTCTGTTTCATGCTGCTTGCTACTTGACTTGCTTCCCCAACTGATCCTGATTTAATCAATCTAATCTTACTAGCTGACCGTAGTTTTGTCCCACCTCATGCTCACCTTGTGATTTCCCGTTTCCCACCTTGGACCCACCTCACGTCATGGATTTGTTCTATAAAAATTCCTAGCAAAGGCAGGGTCCTTGACAACCCACTCGGGACCCCTTCTGTCTTTTAGACAGAAGCTTTCTTTTCCCCAATAAGTATATTCTGCTCTTAATCTCCGTGGTTCCTAAAATTCACTCTTCAATTTTAGAGAACACGAACTTGTACCAGACATCAAGCAGGTGGGGAGCTTCTTTCCCCTGTATCAATAAGGCTGATGTCTGCGAGCAGGCACAGAAATGTCTTGCTTAGTTGCTGTGACAGGAATCAGCTCTTCTGTAGAGATGAGATTTCCAGACAAATGATGCCAGCTTCTTTGAACAGTAGCCTGCAAGCCCTGCAGGTGTGGTGTCTCAGCATGTTTCTTCAGTGTACCACAAACTACACTTCTTAGACCAGCAGCTTAGATCACCCTGCTTTCCTTGCTGTTTCAGGCCTGGAACAGGCACATAGTGACCCCGTCATTCTCAGGTGCTGTGACCTTGAGGTGGATGGGGTACACGGCAGCCATGCTAAGGGGCTCTCAGGCATTCCCTAATGAGCCTCATGCCTTTGCTCCAGGTCGCAGAGTACCTCCTCCGTGTCAGGTTCTGTTGCCTCCTCTGCCCAGTCCTCAGTGTCTGCCTCAGTGTCCTGCCTCCTGCACACCTTGTAGTACTGTTCAGTTGAGAGCCGGCCAGTGGCAGCTGTCAGAGCAATGTACTAATTAGAGGCAGTGAGTTAGGGCCCACACATGCATATATTGATCACGTATGTGTAGTGTATATGTGTGAATGTATGTGTTTATATGTAACCACATCCGCTTGTGCTTACCAGGAGATAATTTTTCTTGGACCCTCTTACAGAGTAGTTGAGATGGTTTCAATCAATTACTTCTGGATAAGTGAGATTTTACTATATGTAAATTGTAGCAGAGGTGACAGCTTGGGCATTTCGGTATTACCTTGTAAATCGAACACTGATTTTCTTCTGAGGACAGACAGAATCATTTTCAAATCACCTGTTCTATGTGAATACAAATAAGTGCTTATAGTGTGCCCATGGATTAGCTTTCCAGAGGTGCCATCACACATACCATGGGCTGGGTTGTTTAAACAACAAAGAGTTTTTTCCCATGGTCCTGGGGGCTGGAGGTCTAAGGTCAAGGTGTCCAGGGCAGGTTTTTCCTGAGGTTTTCAGGTGGTACCTCCTCTCTGAGTCTCCACATGACATGAGCATGACTGTGAGCATGACTTCTTATAAGGACACCAGTCCCATTGGGCCTTACTGAAGGCCTCATTAACATGTCTTAATACTTAACATGTCTTTAGGACTCTATGTTCAATATAGTACTTTCTGAGAAATGGAGGGGTGGACACTCACATAAGAATTTGGGGAAGACAAATCAGCCTGTGCAGACGATCTTCTGCAGACAGAGCCACTTTGCATATAAAAGTTAATTTTAAGCATATAAGAATTCATTTCTATATAGTATCTATATAGTTTCCTCCTTTTTTACAGGCTGTATTTCAAGTACTCATCCCATTCAGTTGCTTAGATGCATGCACCCCCCAAAAAGGTGACAAAGGCTGGGAGGCCTCTCGGGAGATCTCTTCAAGCTGACATGCATGGAGCCTGACTCCCACCGCCTTCTCTGAAGGTCTCCAAGCTCAGACCCCTGAGGTCAGCGCTTCCCTGACCCTGCCTGGAGAAGGCGGCCCCATCTCTTCCCTCGGTGTCTCCTGCAAGGCCCGAATTCCCCATCCCCAGTTTGCTTCCATCTTCAATGTTTGCTTCCATCTTCAATGTGGAGAGGCTCCTTTCCTTCCAGGGACCTTAGGTATGGCAGCAGATGGCAGGTGAGTGGTGCTTTCTGGCCAGGACCCTCCCTGACCACCCCTGTATGTGAAAAGGGCACTCCAAGCCTGTGAGGATGCCCACCATCCTAATCCAGTCCCTAGAGCACCCGTGCCCCCCGGGACACCACGAAGACAGTGGTATCCGTGCACCCAGACTGAATCACCGCGTCTGGGGCGCAGGCAGGGCTCTGGCGGGTTCTACCTTCCACCGTCACTCTTCCAGAACCCAGGTCTTTGCGCTCAGGGATCTGCCTCGCAATGGAGCTATGCAGGCGGGCATGAGCACGGCCTCACCCCCGCGCTGTGGCAGGGCTCTGGGAGATTCCTCATTTCCGGGTCTATCATGCGTCCTAATACAGTTCTCCTGGGCTGCACTAAGGAAATCCACGCGAGTGCTAACGACGGTACGACGTGGATCTTTCCAACCCCTTGGTCTGTTTGTCTCCCCAGGCAGAGTCTCTATAGCCCACGAGGAGGGTTGGCAGAGTACTGTCGCGTCAGCTGCAGGCGATCCTCACGGCTCTCGGGGGCCAGAGCAGCTCCCTCTGTCCGGTTTCCCTCCCAGCCCATGGGCAGGGAAACAGTCCTTCCTTCGCACAGGCGCAGCCTGAACGCTGTGGGAACACCGTGCCCCCACGCTATTGGCTGTAACTTAGTCTTGTGATCAGAGCTGGAGGACAGAGTGGGGGGGGCGGGGGGAGGAGGGTGTCCTACCTGCACACAGCAATCGCATAGTAACCTTCACACTGTGTAAGATGGGTGCCCTGAGACAACACTGGAGAGAAGGCATCGCCCCCACACGCTGCTCGCCGGGAGACGGGCAGGTGAGGATCTGGGGGACAGAGGCTCCCCGCCGGCCGGTTTGCCGCCCAGCTCGCCCCGCACCCAGCCGCCTGTGCTGCTTCTTCCTCGCTGGTGGGTCTCCCCAGGCACAAGCACGCCCAGCAATATGCTTGGGGTTAGTGCGGACTTTTCAACAAGAAAACCTCTCTTTTCTGACTTGTTTTGAAGGACGAACCGGACTCCTGGATTTAAGATGACACATTCGTGCCCTTTTCTGACCCCTGCAAGGCCGCAGATGAGCTGGCGCAGTACTGGTTGCAGGTGCGCAGACCCACGGAGGCCCTTCCCAGGTTCAGCCCAGGGGCGGCCGCGCCTCTGCCTGCCCGCTGCTGCCCTCTGGTGGCAGGAGCCCACTCCGCAGGGCGACTTTGGGGTCTGTCACAGTGGGCAAATTTAAGCGCTTATTTTGATAAGCAAATATATTAAATTTATAGACCTGTATAGAACCTTATTGATTGAAAAGCCGAACCAGGCTTAGGCTGAAAACTGTCTCACCTCTCCCCTGAGCAGGAACTTCGACCCTAGTAAGAACTCTGACCACTTTTGTGGAACTCACCCCGTGTGTTCAGCCTTCCACAATCCAGGCCATCGTCTGCACATCTGTCTGCGTCAGGCTGGTCTTCTACACGTAAAGGGGAAGCCGCACAGGGCGTCCCTCCGCGCACCTTGCTCAGCCCACCGTGCAAAGACCACACCAAAGGGCTCTCCCTGTCCCTCTCCCTTTCCAGCTGTGGAAACTCCACGTCGTGACCAGCTACAGCGCCCCCGCCACACACACACACTCGCTCCTCTATTGCTCACGCCCTCTGTGCAAAGCCACCAGGCAGGGGCTCCCCCCTGCTGTGCTCAGTGCTCTGCTGCACAGCTCCACTCCACTCGTGCTCAGCGGCTGCCATTTGTCGTTACCTATCCAAGGAGACCGGGGCGGGGTGGGGGGCACCAGCCTGCGGTTTACCATCTTCAGCTCCACCTGGAATCCTGGTGTTCAAGCTCCTCAAGCTCTGGGCCTGTGTGAAGCAGGAGATCCTGCCTGCCCTGGGGCCTTGCATCAGAGGCCATCTGGTCTGGTCCTTCCCTCCCCACCGTGAGGTCACATGCCTCCTCCTTTTCTGGCTGCCTCGTGAGTGGTCAGGCAGAAAAGTGTTTTGTGGTTGTACATATTTAATACTAAAACAACATGAAGAATCACACAGCCAAAAACCCCCACTTCTTTTCATCTTTCACCTCCTCTCTGCTTTCATTCTCTGTTCTTTTCACTCCCTCCCTTTTGCTTTTCTTTTCCCACTGGGGATTGGCCCCGGAGCTTGCACATCCAGGCAAGGAGACCCCCATTTCTTTCTTTGCCCTCCTGTCTACCTTCAGCACCTCCCCCCATTACTGAATGTCCATAGTCTACCCTGGACCCTGACATACGGCCCCTGGCCTGTCGTCCCCCTAAACTATACTTGTGAAGGTCTCCTTGACCACTGGACCCAAGCACAGGGCTCAGCAGCTCTTGTGAGTGATGGCTGTGGCCCCGCCCCCTCCACAGCCAGGGTCCCCATCACAGGTCCCCACCTCATATCCTGCCTCTCTTCCTCTTCCCTGAAGTGCCCCTTCCCATGGGGCGTCCCCCTGCCCATGTGATCCTGTGCCTGCAGCAGGGGTCATAGTAGCTCAGTCTGCAGATGTGATGAGGGCCACCTCTCAGGGGCCCTGCTCTCCGCCCCAGTGGGGTTCCCGTAGTGGGTCCTTCACATGCTCA